CGATCAAAGAACTTTAGTACTTAGAGCTTGTTACATTTTTCCTGCTTCACTTCCTTTGCAGTATCTCAGAGTGTTTGTATTTGCATAAATGCACTGGGACTGATGTTCGCATTACGCTAGGCTTCTATCCAGTGCAGCAGTCAGTTTGTTTTTTATTGTTCACTGTTTCAACAATAGCGAATAGGGAAAACTACTGATTTCAAGCTCAATCGAATGAATACAACGTGATTGTGTGTCCTCTCAATCGCATACAATATTTAGCAGCGATAGGCACCCCGCAGACCCCGATAGTTGATTAATAAGTGATTAGTGAATTAGTGACATGCAGAGAAAAGGCGGTTGATGTTTTTTTGCTCTGTTATAAAAAATGCAGAAAGAGGAGCCCTTTTCTTCCAAGAGTCTCCTACAAAGGACAGACTATGTAGCTTAGTTGAGCCTGTACTTAACTGTTTCACTCTCAGACAGAATGACGGACTGACCATTCAAATACCTTCCCATGAAAGTTGGATATTTTTTTGAATTTTTACTTTGGTCACTCTTGGGAGTGAAGGAGTTAACGGACCAAGGCGCGGTAGTTTAGGCCATTTTCTATAGTTTTGCCGATGACGTGCTTTGCAAGCCACGTTATACAACGAAATGAGAGGATCCCCGATAGGGTTCTTCAATCCCGTAATCGCGACCCAAAATTCCGTGCGTTATCGTAATTTTAATGGTTACTTTTGGCATTCCACCTCGCGCGCACACTTTCAATCCCGAATTTCTGGACGTATCATTTTTCTCACACGTGAAAAAACATCGTTCGCTTCTCTGATTGGCTACAACTCGTTTGCGTATGAAAATTTATGACACAGCTTTCTGTGAGTATATCTCAGTAGTTAGACATACGTCAGAGAAAATTACTAAGGCTAAAACTGAGCGACAGCATAAAAAAAATCAGCCAATTTCTTACATCAGAAAAAATTTAATCTTTACAACTTTCACTACAGTGGCATTTTTCTTAGTCAAGTGTCTAAACGGCAAAACTGAGTCCAGTCCATTTGGAGACTGGATGGTCACTAGTTGTATGATTACCAAACGCTCTATGTACGGAGTTCATGTTATGTTACAAAGCATTCTTGTCCAAAAACAAAGGCTCGGTCATCTCCTGGTCAAGAGTGGCCACGCTGCTGAAAAAAAAAAAATGAAAGAAGAAATTAGAGCAAAAAGCCAGTCCAGATGGGTGTAGTTCTTACCCGGCGGAGTTCTTATTATGTTTCAAGGAACTTTCCGTGTTACGATTGTCTGAAAAGCGGATAATTGATTGTTTACCCCCTTAACTTATCAGACCGAAACGATTCACCAATAGTTTGCCTCAGGTGTTCATGATAATTTGAGAAAACAGGGCGAAAAGTAAGATTCCGAAAGATCATTCTCCGAAACCAAGCATAACGAAGAAACTTTGAATAACTTACAATTTATTAGAAAAGAGAATTTTCCAATAACAGAAATAATAACCAGACATAAAGGTCATGATGATTCACTCTTTCTCAGTCCTCCTCTTCACCTTAAACTATCTTTGCATGGATGCACCCGATTCACGTTTTGTGAGAAAAAAGTGCTGAATAACAAACGTTCATAGCATTACCTTAAAGTTCTTCTTGTTCTCGTGGAAACTTTGTTTTTTGCACTGTATATTCCTGTACAATTCTTTCCTCTTCTCTTTCTCCGTCACCGACTTCTTGTATAGGAACCATTATTCTCTCCTCACCACATTCTTCCTGCGGGCTCTGATACCTTTGCCATTCCAATATTTTTAAAAATATGACCGTGATTATTCCACCGATGACAAAACACGCTAGTCTTCGGCACAATTCTTTGCAAGAAAACATTTTCTCTTTTTGGGGGGCTGATTCTTAAGGTGCTTTGCTGAAGGCAGAAGAAAGCGAGCAAACGAAGCCAGTGTAGATTGTTGTTCGGTTACTGCTGCGATCAGTCATCAAGAGAGACTAACAAACCTCCAAATTTATTCAATGATCTCTTGACGGGGAATCCCCGGCGCAGATACCGAAAATTCTATTGGATGCAGAGGAAACCAAAAAACAAACCAAATAACTACCTATACGGACATGTACAGGAAATACCATTGGAAATACCAAAATAGGCTTACTGCCCAAATGGACCGACACGTGTCGCGATTGAGGAAAGTTCTAAGAGCTGAAAATTTTTCGAACAACTGACATGTAATAAATAAACCATCGCGAACAGAAACGCGTTAAGTGTGAGTTTCGTTGATTCTAGACCCGAGGTGGTCTAAATTCTACTGAGTTTTCGGTTTTGACACGTGCCGGAAAAGTTAAAAATTTCGGGTTGGGAGGACATCATGGCCGTTCTCAAGGCAACCAGGAATTTTAATTACTATTCTGTCACAAAATAGAAATTATAGACAAGTCCGCGACACCCTGGTCGAATTGTCACAACCCCGCTTCATGGATATTGTGTATCTGTGCATTGTCCATTTCCATTGTGTGCTAATTGTAAACATTGTACCATGTTCAAATAGAAAGATTTCTACGAGTTAATACGATTTTATTACTTATTAGTGTCCGCGTGACTTTTTATCTGACAGCCCGCTATACGGCCACTATGGCATGTCCCCTTGGTGTCCGTATTAACCGGGTTCCACTGTACCTCCAAATTCGTTTCGCCGTGTATTAACAATCTACATTTACATGATAGGGGCAGTGTTGGCAGTTTGACTAGCGTGCGACCAACCCTCGGCGTCCATTCTATGGCGAACTCAGTCAAAAACGCAGGGGCAGTCACTCGGGTCGGGAGAAACGCTCAAGCGGAAGAACCCGTGCTTGAACGTTTCTCCCTATCCGACTGATAAAAATGATTACCCCTGGGTATTCGAGGATGCGGGGGACTGAGAATAACGGACGTAACAGACTCAGGGCTGATAATCTGTTCCAGGCATTCAGATAGTGTGGACGGTGCAAAGAAAAGTAAACTGGAAAGAAAAAAAACAAGAAAAAACACGAAGGGGCTGTGGGTAGGGAGAGAGGGTATCTCCATTTCGCGCCACACTCCACTATTTGAACGGCGCCTGGAACAGGCAACAAGGTCTGAGCCAAGATCGAACTTTATAAATTAGTTAGTTATACAAAAAAAATTACCAACACAACAAAATAGCCTTTGGCTAACATTTCAAACTGTAAACCAGCTTAATGAATTTAATATGTATTATCTCAATGGTGAAACGAAAAAGGTTGTAAGACTGTATGACCCGTAACACAATGTACGACAACAAATGCATCACGTTGAATTTATTCAATCGACTAATTGCCCCTGGGTATATCCGAGAATGCGGTGGACTGATCAGATGAGAATATCATTGTTATTTGCTGCGGTTCTAAGAATAGCAGCAAATTAGAGTTTTCACTGTTCCAACTTATTGACAGCTGTCACGGAGACTCAAGTATAAAAGGGTGTGATTTACTGCGGTGATCATTCTAAGCTGACATCGCTGCTTGGTTGATTTCGTTTGTCAATACTTTTTTCTTTTCGTGTCATTTGAATTGATTATAGTTCGTCGTTGATGTACTCATAATTTTGTATTCTATTTCAACCTAGACTATGAGTAGTTCCAGTCCTCAGGGATAGCACTCTTTCATCCTTGAGGGAAAATGGGGACTACTCGTAGTCTAAGTTCAACCTCTCTCCCTCGAGTACCCGCGGCTCTGCTTTCGGGAGGGTTCAGGTGTCCTCCTTAGCTGAGGGAGTTTTTCCTGACGGGCAGCAGACACGGTATATCATCTTTTTTACATTATCGATCAAAGAACTTTACTTAGACTTTGTTATATTTCTCCTGCTTCACTTCCTTTGCAGTATCTAAGTGTTTGTATTAGCATAAATGGACGGTGACTGATGTTCACATTACGCTGGGCTTCTATCCAGTGCAGCAGTCAGTTTGTTTTTTATTGTTCACTGTTTCAACAATAGGGAATAGGGAAAGCTACTGATTTCAAGCTCAATCGAATGAATACAACGTGATTATGTGGCCTCTTAATCGCATACAATATTTAGCAACGATAGTCACCCCGCAGAGCCCGACAGTCGATCAATAAGTTATTAGTGACATACAGAGAAAAGCCGGGGGGGTTAAAGGACTAAAAAAGAACGAGGGAATGATGGTAGGGACAGTGGGTATCTTACTCAGTAACTCAGGAGCTAAGTCAGACATTTTTTTTGATGCAACTACAGTGTACATAGTAAACTGCTTGAACTCGGTCATGTTCAGTTACTTAAACTTACAAGAATGTAAAACAAGGATGCCTGAATAATTTCACGGTAGAGGTACAGTCGATTCTGAATTTTTTAAAAGTGCTTTAGATGTTTTTATTTTGTACCGTTACGGAATGCAGAAGAGGAGCCCTTTTTTTCAGAGTCTCCTACAAAGGAAAGACTATGTAGCTTAGTTGACCCTGTACTTAACCGTTTCACTCTCAGACTGAATGACAGAATGATGATTCAAATACCTTCCCATGAAATTTGGATTTGTTTAATTTTTACTTTGGTCACTCTTGTGAGTGAAGCAGTTTACCGACCTTAGGCCGGGGTTAGGTCCATTTTCTATAGTTTTGCCGATGACGCGCTTTGCAAGTTAACGTTGCAAAGAAATGAGAGGATCCCCAATAGGGTTCTTCAATCTCGTAATCCCGACCCAAAATTTCGTGCACGATTCCGTGATCCCGATGGTTATTTTTGGCATCCCACTTCTCGTGCATACTTTTAATCCCGAATCTTGCCCCGATTTTGCTTTAAATTTCCCGATTCCCGAAAAACTTATCGGCGACCCTCAAATTACGTTTAAAAGCTTTTAAATGATAAAATAATAGCTTCGTGAGACATACCAGGCGTTAAAATCAAAGTTACACACATCAAATATAAACTTTAAATTACTCTGGCTGTATAGTTTGAAAGAACAGCAATATTGCAATTCACTTAATCTTTTCGGTTTTTGTCCATCCATAGCTTCTCTTGTTTTTACCTTTTATATCTTATATATTTCACCAGGAGAAAAAAGTGGCCTGTTCTTTATCAGTGGTTTAATAAACTACGTGACAATAGCTACTTTAAAAAGTATTTCCAAGCACCGGTCTATTCCTATAGTTCACAATGCCAGTATGGTCCCCAAAATTAAAAATTTTACGGCTTTCCTCGCGCATTCTCGACCTCCATAATTACGTGTTCATGCACCTCTGTTATGGCTTTGTCCCTGTGGTATCTGTATTAATGAGGTTTAACTGTACGAATATGCGCCTCCTGTCCACGCTCGAACGCTAACTTGACGAGCAACACGGTTTCAGCTTTAGTAGCCAATCAACTGCTCGCGAACGACTATGAATTTTACGCCTGTGCGCTCGAAGACGAATGTTTTATTTCCTCTGAATTAAAAAAAGTCGGAAACAAAATTGGTTAACAAAATTGTCCTTGCTCCGACAAGTGCAATTTTCCACTTTAACGCATAAAATTATCCGTGAACTCAAGGAACATGTATGCATTATCTTCAAGAACAAGCAAAGTTCTCAATGCGTGGCGGTCCTATTCGTGAATGTGCTGTCTTAACTAGGACTTAATGGCAAGAGACCTTCCTAGTTCTCCCTCGTTACGTCATGGAATAGTATCTTCCATGCCTCTGTTGAGGGATTTGATCCTTTGATGTAAGCGCCACGAAAAACCCATACTCACCAGCCGAGCGCGGAGACGGAGAGGGAGATGACATGGAACCAGTTGATGATGAACCCATGCTTTGCCGTTTTCGGCGCATTTTTTCCAAGTTTCTTACGCCAGGAAAGTCAGCGGAGAGTCGAATCAACCTTGGGCGGCTGTAGTTAAATTTGGCGGGATCTCTCTTTTTGTATGGGTCTTGGTTAAACGCCGAAGATGTCTCCGACGTATCATCGCTTGGATCGTAGCCGAATGAACTATCATCGTAGATGAGTTCTGGCGGCGCGGAGTCCACAATCAGATCTTTAAGACGGGTCGATAAGTCATCGGTACTTTGAACAGATTCAGGATAACCGCGATGAAATGTGGGAAGGGTAGCAGACGAAAGTCTGTCGTCTTCGATGCTCTGTTCGAGCAGGTCGAACTCATAAGCCAAAGTAGGAGGTGCAGATTTCGGGCGTTCCGGTCTCTTTCTCGATCCCGACACGACAGGATTGTTAAGCACGCACATTCGGGACCGACGATGTGGAATGCCGTTGGGTTCAATGTCGACCTTCCATCCAGCAATATGTGAACGAGGCTCGGTGGGGTCGAAATGGTGGGTGTACTGCGAGACGTACATCTCTTTTAAATCACTGTTTCTTGGTGAGTGATGATCATGTATTGGACATAAACCTTCCGACTGGACATCTTCTCGACGCACAGCATCCACTATGTCCTCCACTGCCTCCGGAATTGGCTTCATCTTGATGCGGTACAGGTCTGGAATGGAAACCGAGCGATGCTTCTGCGATACACCTGCCGTACCACACATTCGAAGCTCGATTCGGTCCGGAAGCGGCGCTTTTGAGGCTATGAAATAGTTACCCTCCGAAACAACAGATATGTACTTTTTGCAAGGCGAGCGTTTTGTGGTTGGTCCATTCATCATCTGTGCTTTGTCCTTGGAGAAGTCTTTGTTCCATTTTTCTCTTCCCCATCCGCGATAGAAGTCGTCTCGCTTTTCCCTCTCCCAGGGGTAAGAACTATGTAGATCACTACTGTCAGAATATGCACGCATGGCTTTTGTGCTGACGAAACTGCAAAACACCAAAAATATAAAATTAATTACAGGGATTCGATGCGACGACAAAACAAAGTGATTTAAAATAGACTAAAGTCCTTATTATGGCGTGGAAAAGGAAGAAACCGTGTGCATGTGCAAAACAACAAAAGCCTTTACTAGAACTGTAGGGAAAGGAACAGCAAAAACCTGAAAACTGAACCAACTTGAACCTGTTCACTCTTAGAAATGAAATCCTTCAATAGCGACCTTTAGGTAATGTTCACACTCTACTAGATAGCTAGCCTGCGAGCAAGAATAAGCTCTCCTATTTGGGCGAGTGAAACGAGAGCTTGCTCGCAGGCTACCAGATAGCTCTTCATGCCGACACGAAAAGCTATTCGGTAAAGTATGAACATCTATCCGATATGTAGACTGCGAGCAGTCTCTCTTTTTCTTCAGATTTAGTGAGAGCAGTGCACGCGCGCGGGAGCGGCGAAGCAGCGAGACGTGCGAAACGAGAGGGGCAGACCGAGAAGAAAAAGAAAGTCTCTCTTTTTCGTGCCTCTCCCGTCTCGCGCCTTCAGTCACGCGCGTGGCCATTTGCGTGTCTCCCGTTTTGGTCGACGGACTACAGAAAAAAGAGATACTGCTCGTAGTCTATCCGATTATATGTGACTCTCCATTTTAGAGATCGGCGCGAGGCAGCTTCGCTCCGTTACAGAAATCTCGCCGAAATAACCTTCTTATGTGTAAACCGATGCCATATGAGGTATGGGTTTCTTGATCCGCTATAGTGAGAACATAGCCTTAGCTATCACTAACTACGGGATCATGCAAGTTTTTGCGCGTTAGTACAGAATTTCGGGTTGAAAGTTTGTCCCTAGAACTCTTGTTCATTGATGCGCTGACCATGTAGCCCAACGGACGGGGCTGACTTCAAGGAGTCGGTGTGAACACTACATTACGTACACAAACTAATAATTTAAAAATGTGGTACTAATACTCAAACTCTCTCTCTCTCTCAGTCTCACTAAATGGTATCTAATTGTTAAGCGTTGTTTAGAAGCTTTTCTTAATGTTTTCTTTTTTTTCTCTTACACTCCCAACGCTTAGGCCTCTGAGGTAACTTCGAACGAAAGAGTCAACCCCAAATTTAACGACTCAATTCTGCTCTAAACTGTACCTCGATGTGTTAGTTGTATCTTGGTCGTGTACACCCATCTTCGCCCAACGAGATTTTATAAAACTATCAAGTTGTTCTGAGAGGTTCTCTTTGGGTGACTGGCAGTCTTTTTCTGTGTCTCCTTCACCAAAAAGATCTAACCGTCTGGAGTCCAAACGCTTACCACGAAACGACTAAATCATTTAGCGTTAACTAGCCTGTTCCCACGCTCTGTTTATGAGAAGCATGCAAATCAGCAGATCATTTCACAAAAGAACGTATGGAGTCTTTTGTTATTTCTTTAAGGAACAGAGCATAGGTGTTGACATTTGGTACTCGAGAATCATCGACGCGGTTCGCGGCCTTGAAGTTATTCATATGGCGAGATATTCAGATACAGTTTCCTGATAGACACATAAGTTTGCAGAGTATAGCTTAGTCAATGCAAATCATTTTAGTTCAGTTTGTAAGTCATGCATTTTTTATGACTGTTCCTACCACTTTGCGGCGACATTTCTGCCGGTTCTAGAGGTTTCGTATAAGCGAAGAAACAACAAAACAAATCCAGTGTCCATTTTTTTAAGCCAATTACTGCGCAAATACGTTTTTGCTAAAGTCACTGACCATTACCATACTTTTAAAAAAGAGATAAGCACAATTATCATCTTTCAAATCTAATAAATAAAAGCAAACGTTAAACAGGCACCTACCTAATCGCAGTAGTCTAAACAAGAGTCAAACGGATTGGCAACGTAAACCGGACAGATAAGAAAATCTTTCATAGAATTGTCTGGCTTTAAAATTTTACAAAACAAAACTTTCCCTGTGAAAGAATACGTAAAGAATTGCCTTTGTGAAAGTGGCTACTTACAAAATTCATTCTCTGAATTAAAAAACCAGCAAAGTTCTGTATGATGATAAAACGTATGAACACGGTTTATTTTTGTTGCATTATTAAACTCACCGACTGGTTAGCTCACTCGAGCGTTCACCTCTAGAAGTTTTTGTTTGCTTGTCGAAATAAAAAAATCACTCTTTGCTAGTGAGTTACCTTTTTACGAATTATTTAACTGACTAAGCTTCTTACTTCGACTTTATACTTTTTTGCATTCCCGCAGTTTTCAGGTTTTCATACCGAGACCAGCAGAAGTCGTTACCCCGGTGGGAAAAAAAATTTATCCTTACTTACTCCTTGTATTTCAGTTTGAGAATGTGAGGGAAGCCTCGTCAAAATGTGTTTTCATCTGTTGTCGCTGTTTTCAAGGGTTGTTTACATAATTCGACATTGTGATTTTTAACAGGTGATTGCTAAGTATTTTTAACAGAATTTGCCAGCAGCTTCTCATAAATTCAAATAACCTTGGTCACCAGCAGAACTCCATTAAACGGGCTGGCGCGCTTGAAAAGAAAACAAAGGTTTAACAATTATTGCAAGCGTGCCGCCCACCCTTCCGAAACTGATTGTGGCTAAGTGTTATTAACAAAGTTCAACGCAAACACAAATGCAAATCTTGTTTTCTAAAACACTCATTGGTTGATAACATGGCAAGAAGGACTTCTCCAATAGGATTCGGGATTTCCCTTATTTGAACCTCGGGATTCGGGAGTTTAAAACAAAATCTCGCAAGATTCGGGATTGAAAGTGTGTGTGGGAGATGCGATGGCAAATGTAACCCTCGGGATCACGGGATTGTTGAAATTCTGGATCGGAATTAAGGGATTGAAGAACCTTATTGGTTTTGGATTAAATGCTGAGCTTGAGACTCTGCCTTGTATCTAACCATATTTTAGAATGTCTTTAAAATACTCAGATTCCTCGTCCAGGGTAGAGGGTCCACGATAGGATTACTTAATCCCGTCATCCCGACCCTAATGTTCGTGCAATCCCGTAATCCCGATGTTTGTTTTTGGCATCCCACGTCCCAAGCGTACTTTCAATCCCAAATCTCGCCCCCATTATGCTTTAAAATCTCGAATCCCGGCTTTCAAAAACGGGAAATCTTGCATCCGGAAAACCCTATTGAGAATATTGAGGTCCCTAAGGATACTGAGTCTCTGATTTCTTACTCTTTATGCATTTGAGTGGATCCCAATGAAGGCAGATTGATCGACAGACTGATAAAAACCTACGTTTTTGACTGATGGCTTAAATTAGGTTTCGAAACTGGAACACTATGCACTGTCCGGTAAATGGTGGCGTCTTGAACAAAAGTGTGCCTTGCTCGTTTCCAAAAACATTAATAAAGATAAAGTAACGAGGTAAAGTAATGGTTCCGCGACAGGCGACCACATGAGCTGGCTAGTTAATATTTCTACACCGTTGAGTTTTAGAAACATTGATCACAAATGAAATTTTACAAAACACATCGTTAAAAACTCGATGTTTTTTTTACACAGCATGTGACAGGTTTGGTATGCTTGGAATCCCGCACTGCGCAGGGGTTCGTAATAGGCTTAGAGGTGGTGTTTATACATAATGATCTGCGGTTAGAGCACTAAACGCTGTTAATCAAGTCACAGCAGTACAGTAAGTCGGTTTCGCCACAAAACCTAGCAAGAGAGCTATAGGTCTACTGTTTATTATTAGAAGTAAAAAAAGGTAAATTTAGGTGTCTGAACTGATACTTTCCTCAGTCAAATTGATTCTGAAACCGGTATAATATATGTTTTGATACTCCTAAAAATTAAATTTCAAACGAAATGCATACGTCACGATTAAGGTTCTCTAGCACACTTATATCAGCACGAGGACTGAATATTATTTTGTACGGAGAAGGCAACAAACGTCAGAAAACGTATTTTAACTAACCAGAAGTCAATTCTAGGCAAGCGTGATCGACAAGTGTAGCCTTTGTTTTCAAACTCTACAACAAAGGTTACAGAAGAAGAAAAAAATCACGTTATTTTTGCAATCGCGTTTTTATCATTTATGGACTATCCCAGCGGCTTTTCTCTCTGGTTACACACGGCAATGATATGCAAAGCCAAACTTCCAGAAGAGGATTGAGTTTTAAAATTACGTTAGAAATTGTTATCGCCAACCGAGAATCAATGATATTTTCGCCATAATCACACACAGCGAGAAAAAAAAGTTATATCAACTTAAGTAAATATTAAATTAATTATTAATAAATTTTAGAGTATATCTGAATGTTCCAGTCTCTTCGTTTTCCGTTGATATTCGCATTAGAACTCTTTGAAATAGTCTTATGTAGTTTGATACTAAATTTCAACGGATAATTCAGTCATATGAGGGTCATCAGCACCTTCGTTGGTCTTTTTCGTCCTTTTGTGCCTCCCCTCAAACTAACTTTGGACCAGTAAAGTACATAAGCTGAGCTGTCCACGATGATAATATTTTCCCTTTTTTCGTGAATTTAGCGTGTTTTCATAAAGAACTTTAAGATTTTTTTAAATCTTGGATCGTTACAAAGAATGACACTCGTGACGAAACACGTCAGCAAAGCTGGTAAAGTTGACCTGGGTGATAGGGTAACTCGCCTAGCACAAGGGTAACCCTCTCTCGATGTAAACAGGCCCTTAATTGATTCTGTCGGCACCGAGTACATAACCCAATATCGTCGTTGCTTAGAAACGAAAGAAGTTTGAGTCGAATTTCGTCAAATCCAGTATAGTACTTGATTGTAAACAACATATATCTAAATATAGACTGTCGAACCCAAGACTTTAATATCCTAAAATATTACGCCTACTAAATTTTGGCTTTGAAATAACAAAGGGATTAGACAAGGACAGAAATGCTTTGAACATCTGTCTTTAGTTGTTTCATATGCAAATTTGACGCGACTGGAAAGAAAGCTTTCATGTCACCCAGATCTTAAATAATAAAACTCTGTTTAGTTGCAAAGTACTTCAACGAAATTACCAATAACTCATTAAAAATTTCGTGTGGAAGCTAAGAACAACTTCAGTAGTCTGAGCGATACATACAAAAAAGAAAGAAAAAGATATCACGCGTTACTTTGGTAAACCGCAAAAAGACGGAATTTTGATGCTTGCTTCCGTGCCCCAATATAAGCTCCGTAATACTTAGAGGGGCATCGTTGGTACGTTAAAGAATGGACCACAAAACGAACATTAACTAATACAACAGAAGCTGACTTTAATCGCGTTGGTGAGACCTTGAAACTCCGCTTACACTATAGAAAGCCGTTCAGTTCTTTAAGGTCAGATAAATAAAACAATTAGCGAGGGCTGTACGTATATTAATTTGTTTTTCATGGCGAAATAATCCATGTTTGAAGTTTTCCCTGAACGTCAATACTGCATTAGGCGTACAATTTGCCAAACTTGTACAAAAGTCGTTCTAAGGGCATTTCACAGTTTTTATTTGCTCTCAGTAAATAACTCCCAAGCTTTTCGTGGTTTAACTCCAAAACCTATCCATATTGTTTCAGTATTCAGAATGCAGTGGGCCGAATCAATTTTGTCAGCTTGAATCTGCTACGTTGAAAATAAATAGTTACACCTTTCCACACCGACTGGAGTGTTCATCTACCTCGATCTCGAAGCAGAGAACTTTGATCTCATGATTGATGCCAAACAAGTAACAAAGACATAAAACGAATCTTTTTGTGTTACCTCAGAAATCACAACAAGAGGCTAAAATTTACTGACTGTGAAAAAAAATTTAGGAAATTCTATATTTTTGGTCAGAAATGACTAGAGAACGAGATGTTAAAGGCGAAGAAATGCGGTGCGAAAGATACCAACTTCACTTGTACAAGTTTTCTAGTAGTTGACCTCGGTGGATAATGAACCAGAACACATTTCGATTGTTTCTTCCATTGATTTTGTGTCCTTAAGACCTTAAAAAACGCTAATCTGTAGATTTAAGTTATTAAAACGGCAGAGAAACGACTTTTGATTCGTGTAATCGCGATGAAAATGGTAAATCAAGATATGTTAAGTAAGTTTCAGGGGAGACTCTTTCAATACAAAATGTACTTACGATTTCAATCCTTGAGCCTTGTCACAGACGACCAAGCGAGGTTTTTTCCTCTGCGATCAAGCTTTCTGAAAATTCACAAGGTTCCGTAAGCCAGCCGCAATTTCAGTCACTCTGGTTAAAAAATAAAATCCCGATTTTAATCAAGGAAGGCGAGACTACGCGACGACTCACAAAATACGGCGGTGTGATATTCAAAACACAGGTCGCCAGAAAATTTATTCATAAGCAGCCAAATAATGATAGAAATGCTAATCGTTTCTGTCCACCTGATCAAAAATAGTCTTTTGTCGTGAATACCTGTCACGTTGCTGGCAAATTGCTCGCCTGTGATTGGCTAAATCTAAGAGGTCACCTCATGAGTGCTATATTCAGTTAAGGCAGGGAAAATATTCCAGATTATTATTATATTGCTCATTATATGGCGTATAGCTATTCAGAAAGTAGGTTTGCATATTTGGCTATAATAGTTTCAGAACTGTCCTTTTGTATTATTTTTACTTCTGATTGACAATTTTTTTTTTAAGTTGCTCCGATAAAAAAATAAAAAATAAAAAAACATTGGAGAAACCTGGGAGAAACTATCAGAAAATATAAGAGTGTACGATTTCCCCAAGCTAGTTACCCAAGTCAAATTTTTGTTTTTTGAAATTTTCTAATACAACACGTGCGAAAAGATTCTGCAATACTACGTTCTGCACGTATGTGATGATGTTATTGTTTTTATCAGCACGAACAGGCACTACTTGTTCATATTGATCCCATACAGTCATACATAGATTGCATGCCAGTTTGCGTTATACTCATTATTTGAATATCGTGAGGCACTTATCGAGGACAAATATTTTAGATATGAGGAAACCCTATCCAGATTGACGAAAGTGGGTTTTAAAGCTCAAAACAAAATAATAACGCACACTGATATCAAAACAGAATAAAACGCGGCTTCTTCTGTGCCTTTCGCCCTACCGATCTTCACTTTTGCTATCGTTAGCTAAAAAAAAAGAAGGAAGGAAAAAATATATAAATATAATGACAATGGCAATACTGATAATAAGTACTTGTAATTAAGTGGTCAATTAATTGACAAACATAACCATTCTTTCTCTAACAATTGTTTTTTCGAGGAAAACATCAGATTTAAAATTACCAAATTAATCGCCCCCACATACCCGGGTTACAGATGAGACGGATCCCAGGATCCACATCATGAAAGGGGTTAAATGGAAGAATTTAAACGTACATCATCAAAATACGTTGTCCTCTTACATACAGGGCCCTCAACAGGTTCTCGAGATAAAAGATTTCGGTCATCTTTTAAGACCGGGATTCGGGATTTCAACAGGGGGACCCATCGACAATTTCTTCCTAAATACATTAAATTACAAGGGCTTAAGTATTATTTTCCCGAAATTTAGATGCAAGTTAAACGGTATTACGAAAGAAAAGATTTTTCGTGATTGCTCTCTCCATCACATTTTTGAATCCGAAAATTTTAGGAAACATTTCGGCCAAGAGGACGCGATAAAAAAAGAAAAAAAATACAGTGCCAAGTTTCCTTACTTGCAGCCAATTATGGCTGAATTGCGGAGGAACCAGAGAGGTGAGATCGGACGTCAGCATGTAAAGGCCGGCACTCCTTCAGCCACTTCAGTCGATGTTTTGATCACACCTCGTCCACCCAGACCGATAAGGACACAAGTCAGATAGACCATGACTTCGGGGCCTACGTCCCGGCTACTCCGTTTCGAACCGTGATGTCACGGGTTCTTTTACGTCCCCTTTCAACTGGAGCACAAGGATGACCAATGACGCGATCCTCTGAACTGAGAAAGGGGTTTTACAGCTAGCATGATCTCACCAGTTTTCTTAAAGACTTTGGTTGATGGTCCTGCCGGCGTTTGAACTCACGAGTCTTACTCAGCAGACCGGGGCTCTTCCAAATGAGCTACCCGGGTGGTGGTTGAAGAAAACCATTGCATGGGACCCTCTACTCCCGGCTTTTCAGGGGCGGATCCAGGATTTTTTTAGGAGGGGGTGCACTCGTCTCTTGCTCTACTTCAACACCAATAACCAAATAGTTTTTTTTGCAGAATACCAGTTGTATTAGAAAACCGCAGGTAATCTCGGGGGGGGCACCCCTGCACCCTCCCCCTAGATCCGCCCATGCTTTTGTAACAGGGTAAAACAAAATGAGGACGAACATATCTCTCTGTCCAACTATTTTTCGCCATGACCTAATAATGAAGCCAGGCCTGGAACCTCGATATAAGGAAGGGCCAAGGGACCGCTAGCATGCATAACAGGCACTTTGTTTGGCTCACAAAGCGCCTGTTCCGGGCTCCAGGAGCCGGGAACAGGCTACTGTTATGCAGGATAATGGACTGCAAAATCTGTTCGCTATAACGAGGTTTCGTTATATCGAGGTTATTTTCCATGTATTTTACTATTACTCAAGGGTAAATAAAATCGTTCTTTATACCGAGGACTTCGTTATATTGAGAGGGGGGCGGGGGGAGGGATTACTTAAGTTTTATACCAACCTCGTCCCCAGGGCTTTTCCCTTAAAAAATGGGTGGGGCGGGAAAAGGCCCTGGCATCGGCTGGTCACGAGTCCCCTCGTACACCCTAAAATCCTGGGTGTAATAAATTAGCGCTTTGTGAAAAGCTAAAATTATGCGTAACCTCACAGCGCGCGATCTTGGGCGGCCTTTTATATCTCTTGACGATTAACGAAAAGTTTTACAAGATTTCTTTTTTGTCACAGATACTGGCTATGGTAATTTTTGCTTTCCTCCGATTTCTATGAAGGGAGAGCGAGCGGTAACATTTGTAAAACTTCCTTTATAGAGCGATATAAATGACAAACAAGCTATCGTACATGCTTAAAGTTTGTACTGAAAAAGTCCGTTTTCTCGACTCTTTTGATATTTTATTTTATTTCTTGCGAAGTGGACCGCCGTACACAACCTAGTTCTATTCACCTTAACTCTCAGCCATATCATAGCGTCACGCGTTGGTTTAGACTTATCTTGTATGACCTGTATTTTTAAAAATTCATTGACCTCTGCGAGACTTGACCGAAACCGGAAACCGGGCATGAAAAGTTTCTGGCACCCAGGGTATCAAACGACTGGTAACAAAGAAAGACTTGGGTCCATTTAAAATTGACAGAGCTGTAGTTGATTCCAATCGATCGGTCAATCTTCCCTTTGATATAAGGAAAATCCTTTGTACTTATCCTCGGAAGAGAAAAGATATAAGAGATCTTAAAATGTTTCAGATCGGCGACCTGTCATCGTTCCTGGCTGGAGGGCTGACTTGCATCCGGCGCGGAGATTTGTTTGTTTCATGGTCGGGTTGTAGAGAAGACCAGACTCCATAAAGTATTTTGATGAACAATTCTATTTCAATTAAGTCCAATTTGTTTAAATTCACTGCAGATCCTAGAGGCAAAGGCCCGCATTTTTGTTTGAAATTCTGAAGCATTTGACATATTTTGTACGTGACAACGTAGAGCCGGTACTTGTAGCATTTGAAAAATACGCAATTAAATGGATCTTAAGCTTTTGAATCGCACAGACGCGAAAATATTGACATACAGTTCGCGATATTATTATTTTCCATTGTTGCTCCGTTCGACTTCTGTCAGCGCAAAACCAGCGGGTTGCATATAAATTAGCTTCTCAAGAATATTTAGGCTGTGCACGTGACCAGCCGATGCCAGGGCCTTTTCCCGCCCCACCCATTTTTTAAGGGAAAAGCCCTGGGGACGAGGTTGGTTTTATACGAGAAGGCTCCGCCCCAACCCCTTACCCCAGTATATACCAGATTTGAAAGAAAAGGTAGATCTTCTATTATATTGACAAATTGTACCTCTTTCACATACTTATTTTAGGACTTTGCACGCTTTAACTGCTGTAAATGCACTGTCCTTTAAATATGAATGAAGCACTGACCAGAACACGATCTCACGAAAAAATAGGGGACTGTGAACAGTCTAAGACCGAGATGACAGATTTCTCTACTCTTTCATATACCGTATTTATTGCAATAAGCGCCCAACCTCGAATTAGCGCCCACCTCGAAAAAGCGCCTATTCTAAAGGTGGAAATAGTTATTAAGCCCCCAGCCCCGAATAAGCGCCCACCCCCACCCCCTCCCCCTCCCAATCAAAATAAGCGTCCACCCCCACCCCACCTACTTGAGTGACAATGACATTGAAATTGAAATCGAATAAGTCGGTAATAAGAGACTTCCCCGAAGACGGAGTTTTCTTCAGAGTATTTCAGCAGAAACCTTGCTTTGTTACTTCTTCGCGTTTTGTTTATAAGCATTTATTGTTTTGGTGCAAAATAAACATACTGCACTTGCTAAAAATGGTGAAAATTTAAGAAGCGCCCAGAGCGGTTCGACCGAATAAATACAGTGCAGGGCTTCTGACTAGTGAGATCATATTAACCTGAAGCTTGAAAAAGATACAGTCGACTCCCGATAACTCGAACCCTCGCTAACTCGAACCTCGCGCTAACTCGAACCAAAATCGATTTCCCCTGGATTTCCGTCATACTTTCACTGTAATTTTACCCTTCGGTAACTCGAACCCTCGATAACTCGAACTCCCGCTAACTCGAACCATTTTCGTTTCCCCTCAGGTCATTTTCTATATAATTTTACCCTCGATAACTCGAACCATGTCTTGAGCCCTTAAAAAGTCGGGAAAAAAGCCGTCTACTGGCGTCCGAAACATTGAGGCTGATGTTGATTGTCACAGGCTAACGTGAAGCAGCTTTACTTCTCGAAACAGTAAAACCAATGCTCTATTTAGGCTATGTTTTGTTACGTCACGTTCTGATTTATAATCTAGAGGTATCTTTAAATTTTCACTAGACATTTCTACAATTAAATGTGATTAAAATGTTCACTGTGCAGTAAAAACTGTTTTTTACCTTACTCCCGGCTATTTTTTCAATTTCCCTTGAAGGTTCGAGTTATCGGGAGTCGACTGTATCCCTTTCAGGGAGAGCCCCGGGGACATTCCTTTATGAAATCATCTCGTTTGATGTGAAAAAAGAAAACAAAGTCATTTTGCGCGCATGGCGAAAACTATATATAAATCTGACAAGGCTGCATAAACGCGGAGAAGGATCTGGGAACCAGTTGGAAATTACGCAATCGGAAGTCGATTGCAAAATCACAGAATGATTTTGCCTTTATTAGCTTGTTTTATTTCCGGTAAGGCGTCAAAGGGATCACAAGAAAGATGAAGCCACACGTGCGAAGAGCTGTTCTAGCATATCTAGCCTTAGCGCTCTTTTATCTCGTGAATAACCTATCCTTATCAACTGCACAAGACGACTGTCTTCCAGACATTGGTGGAAGCGGAGATTTGAAGTCTGTTGTCCTCAACATACAGACATGGGAACACCGATCGTCCAACTTCCATGTGAGTATGAATTATTGCAACAGTATTCTTTAGCTTTTTACCCCTAGTAAGATTCACAAAAAGCCTTAGTTTTGTCTTGTGAAATGCTGTAAAACGAAAAAGAGTCATTCAGCAAAAGTGCTCGTTGTTTGCCACTGATTCAAGTATTTCTACGGACGAAGAGGTTTCATTCAGATCAGTCACATCATCACCAATTCTCAGGTTTCTAATTACGCAGACTTCAATCGGCAACCCAAAACTGTGTTTGGAGTTCTTATAGGTTTCCTCACCAAATTTTACTCTTATTGAATCAGCAAATTATTACTGAAGGAATTGCAAATGATACAACGGATTATTCTTACTGAGATCGTGAAAGAAGCTTAAGGTATCAGCCACCCTTCAGGACAGTCCGCGCGCGGATCGCTGTAGCGTTAGTTGTTTTTATAAAAACCCCTATAAACCATATATTTTTTAAAAGCTTAATAATTCCAGATTTTGGAATTGAACTAACAAAAACGATTTACTTAAATGTGTTTCGAAATTGGAGCGCTTTGTGTAAAAGTACACGTCTCTATAAATCATGTTCCATTCCCGCCGGAAATAAACGGAAGAAAACAATTAACACCGCATTCGCTTCTCAACACGTTCCACTAAAAAACCGTGTCTCAGATTTTTGACAAGTGCGTTTGTTTTTCTTTTATTAGCAAATGAAGTTGGGGAAGGCAATTAGTCAACACTCTCTGTGGAAAAAAAGCTCTAGCTTTAAAATGAAAAGGAGTATTAAAATTCGCAGACACGGTTTTGTAGAAGAGATATATGGCATCACTCTGGCCAAATTTTAGCCAAATTGATTGAAAGGCTGCCGACTTGGAGTTCAAAACGTACGAGTCCATCAGCAAAAGTTGCGTTCGGAGATAAAATAGAAAATACATTTTTGGCGGCATCCTACCTGGAATGAGATTATAACACCTAAATGTTTATTCTGATTGATATCAGAGAGGGATCAATTTTCTCTAACAATAGGACTTTGACAGGTAACATGTAACAGGAACAAACTTTTTATTGCTATCAACATCTTCAAGTGAACAGTTTAATTCTCCGTTGGAAAACTTCCACTCTTTTACACCACGAGAAGCACGGTTTAATTCTTTCTCGATCGCCAGGCCAAGGAAACTAAAAAACTTTGAAGCCGCCGAATGCCCACCACCGATTGCTCGAAGGCCAAGAACTGAGGCCCGGTTTATTGCAAACGCTCTGCTCTTCTCGGAAGAATTAAAAACAGAATTTGTCTTGTGCGACGGCCAGCTTTCATTCTCGCACTGGATTCTCCAGGTAGAACCAAGTCCATGCTTAGTCGCTACATTTTCCATGACTTGGACTCTTCCCTGGCAAAATCGACAAGATACAGACTCGTCCAGTTTCTCAAGCAGCTTTTCGCTCAATACGATACAGTAAACACCCGCATATAAGAACACACGATTTTGGAGGTCAGGCTGATTGAGTTCTTATTTATCGGGTGCTTAATGACAAATCAGCCTCAAAATGTTCTTAAATTTTTATTAAGTAATACTATCCAAAACATGTTGCTAGAGGTATATTTTAAGCATATTTTAGCAAAATAAAATAAATAATTATCCACTAATTTGATCATATTATATATTATATTATATCATAAACTTACATGCTTTGTAATCATGACACTTTTTCCATTTTATAAGAACAAGTTACAATTTTCAGGTTAATCTTGTTCTTATAAAAATGGGGCTTTATTGGCTAAATTTCAGCCTGGTGTTCTTAATCCGCTTGTTCTTATATGCGGGTGTTTACTGTAGCTCGACCGCTCATTGTTTTCCACGTTCCATCAGTAGATGGGGTCGATGAGCTTAATTGGCTTTCTTCATCTGGTTCCTTAAGCTGGATTTTGGAGCGGCTTGCACTCTCAGCAACTGCAGCATTTTCGCTTTTCTGAATATCCAACTCTTCGAGCCACTTCTCTTGCTGATAAAATGAGCCTTTGTCGCTCTCTGCCAATTTTGCGGCCCATTCTTTGTCAAACTCGCTCTTCGATTTCTTTTTCGCTCTCGGTTTCGATGACGAAAACGGACACGACCTTTTCTTTTTTTTTTGGCGGCATTTTCACCGAAGCAAACGCTAAATATCCACGGAGAATACTAAAGGCGTTTTGTGTCGAAGCACGCACTCGGTATCACGTAACTAGTTCACAGGCAAGTTAATTGATATATGACACGGGTATGACAGAACTTGTTAACGATCAATTAAGATAATTAACGAGAAAAAATCTTTTACCCCCGATATCTTTCGACAGAAATAATATTTTCTTCTGATTTTTTTTTTTAAAAGAAAGCTCTCAAGCATATCTATTTGAAAACGTTGAAACCTCAAATATGGAAAAATGGCAATTTTAAGGGTGGCTGATACCTTAAACGCACTCGAGCGAGAGCAGCGGGGGCGGTGGCCTTTGATCGCCTGTGCAAATGCCAAGTCTGCCAAGTGCCAAAAGGCTAGAGTAATCAAAATAACAAAGAGAAGATAGCCTGCGTAGAAAGCGTTTCCTCGCGAGGTTCGTCTAGAAAGCTGTCGATTGGAAACGCTTGCTACGCAACCTTTTTTTGCTTACGCTCTAACTTTCGGGCAATAACTCGATTGGAAACGCTTGCTACGCAGGCTACAAAGAAGATTGTGTCAATAGCAAAATTTTTGAATCTGTTTGGTTCTCAGCAGCCCAGTTATTTATTGGCTGATACAGGACCAGAGCTGTCCATTTTGACCTGTCCGATTAGAAGCTGCTTGTAAATCAGACAGGTCAATCGGACAGTTGAACAACCAAAGAAAATCGAGCATCAAAATAATGTTGCTAGCCAATTTTGTACTCCACTCTCAGGGGCGTAACGCAAGGTTTTGAAGGTGTACGCGCGGAAAGGAAGGTTGGACCTCCGTATGTATTGCAAACTAGGGGGTTCTGGGGGCATCCTCCCCCAGAAAAATTTTTCAAATTTAGGGGCTCAGAAATACTATTTCCTGCGTTTTCAGCAGGACATTTATTAGTAAATCAATACGAAGGACAATGCAATAATTAGTTGTTTAATTTTCATCTCTAGTCTACCCTTCAGACGGGTAAAGACACCAATATATGCGAAAAATTTATCAATGGCCTCGATTTAATTGTAAAAATGCTTTCAGGAAATAAAAAAATACATATTCTCCAAATTTCAGCTGTACGCACGGGTGTGGGGCGAAGGATTTGAGGCTAAACAGAGAGCTTGGTCACAGGCTACCCCTCATTCTTACGCGTCGCCTACCATCGCGATAGGCGACCCGTGCATTTCCGATATATTCTGTAATTTCGTAGTAAGCAATCAGAGAGGTGTTTGTCCAGAAAAGGGTATATAACTAACTGAGTAATTATGCTCAGTTGTAGTAAAGAAATAGTCTTCGATAGGAAATGATATTCACTGGTTTGGAATAGGCAGGATGTGGACTTTTGGCTTCAAGCCGGTATTGCGTGATAAGGTGGCCAAGACAATCAATTCCTTTTTCTACACAATTTTCATGAAAAAATAGTTCAAGTCACCAGTGGAGTAGTCTCCTACGCAGACGTTCTGAAGGGTTCAGGAACGCGTGACGAACCCCTAAGAACGTTTGCGTAGGAGGCGGCCAGTGGATAGAAAGGATTTTTGTTCTATCTTACCCCCATGGCTGCCGAGACGTCAACCACAAGCCAGCAATAGAACAACTAATCAAGAACGCAACCGCTTGCGTAGGGATAAGTCCTGGAGAAGATTCTGGTCGGAAATGAATAAGAAAACAAAATGCAGAGCTCTGAAAGATGCGCTCTTATATTTGGTAAGGGTTTGTAATCGCTTTGGCTCCGCTAAACTTGTATCGGGTTGCAGCCAGGAACGTCTTTTGTAGCTGAGTTTCTTGTGTCCAGTACTAAGATATTTTTTCCTGCCTTTTGTTGTTGGTTGCAGTTCGATGATCCATTAATGGTCTCATCTAACACCTTCACGGTGTCAAAAGGTTCTGAAGTTTCCAGGCTGAGTGGTGCTAATGTACGTTTCTACGGTGAAGAACTCTGTGTTGCCGTAACTAAATATACGGAAGTAGAACGGAACGATGGAACGACAAAAAGTAGCTCTGAATGTCTTAAATCCTGTCTCAGCGTTGGCGGTGCAACACGCCTAGACACTTACTCCGGGACATTTGGCAGACCTTCATCCACTAACCCTCCATGCTGTTACTCAGGATTGATTAAATACCTCCGATTTTCCATCCCCGCACCCCCGACCACGCCTCCCCCCTCCTATCAGTGCATTGAATGTTCCGACTGCGATGGGGCTGGTACCAGGATATCAACTATTACATGCAATGCCGGTGAGAAGTGCTTCACGTTGAAGTTGCAAAAACACCAGGATGGCGAAGTGGTTACTGTCAAAGGCTGTTCTCACCACCTCCGGAACTGGGGCAAAAATCTGTATTGCGAGGATCAGCCTGAGTGTAAAAGCAATGTGCGACTTTGGCCGGATGAAAGCCGCCACTATAGTGTTTGTGTGTCCTGCTGCTCGGGAGATAAATGTAACGGCAAAAAAAGCGTTGGTTCTGGCGTTAGTTTTTATGGCCACAATCGACACATGATGATTTTGGCTCTTATTTTTGGTGTCTTTGTTATTAGCTGACGGAACTGACATTGATCGCATATAACCCGTTTTCCTGGCCGAGTAAAACGTGTTTAGAAGTCTTGCAAGCAAAGTTTTGGAAACCAAATGATTCTTAATTACAAATCATACAAAGTATTTATGTCTGATCAACTTAGAACAATCAACAACAACAGTTTCAGTTATTCAGAAATCAGTCATTTTTATAAAGCTTATATATAGTCCCCCGTAGGTAGTAAGCGAGTCGAGGAAGGGATCAGAAGGACAGTAGTCTGTTCGAGGCTGTCAGATAGTAGGGATGACGCGTATATGTAAGTGAAAGGCACTCGAAATCTGGGAAAAGGGACCGCCTGTCCTCTCCCTAGTTTCCTCCTGTTTTATTTTCGCGGACCCGACTATCTCGGAGACTGGAGCAGGCCTGAGGGACAGTTGCGTTTTCAGACCAAGAAACACCAATAAAAAAGGAAAGAAGAAGGAGAAAAACGAAGGAAGAAGGCCTTGTTTTATTTTATAAACACCAATGAAATATCAGGTGAGCTTTCGCGCGAAAACATGATACCTTTACATGTGAAAATAACATGTTATCTTTACACGTGAAAAGATCACCGTTGCTATGGCTACATGATAAACCGTGCCTTTTACAGCAAAAAGCTGTTAAGGAGAAATGGTTTGGTATTTCATTGTTGTTTATATAATAAATAGAACATTACATGGTGACTTAGAGATATGAAATTTCTCTTCTCGTGTTGAAAAATATTTCACTCGATCGCTGCGCTCACTCGTGAAATATTATTCACCTTTCGAAGAGACATTTCGTATCTCCGCGCGGCCATGTAATATCCTCTATTTAAAACGTTACGTAGTTTGTTTAAATAAATAATTAGCCGGCGTAGCAAGCGTTTCCGCGTGAGTTCGTCGAGAAAGTTGGGACGAGAGCAAAAAAAGAAAGAATCAGGCTAATAAATCATTTGTTGCACTCTTATATCGATATTAAACATTATATTGAAAACAATTGTCAATGGCTCTTTTCTAGAATTCCTTACCTCATTTATTTCTTATCACACGCCTCAGTCTTTCACATCTTTTCAGCTATTACTTGTTGTTACCCAACCAATAGGAAGTCGACACTTTTTCCGAGCATGACCGAACTAGCAATGAATTCTTTACTGAAATACTCTAGATAGCACTTTCACCCGTGGATAGCGCTATCAACTTAATTTTTGAACAACTAGGGCCTGATGATCTACAAAATGGGTAAAATTACAGTGGCACTCTCTCAACAGTTGTAACGGCTCCAATTGCCCTTCCTGAGTAAAGGTGTCTGACCTATAGGAAGGATCTAGACCGGCGGGAAGTTTTGAACCCCCATTCCGGTTTCTTTTTCACAACATTTCCGAATCCCGAAATTCTGTCATCTCGATCCCAAATACCATTTTCTTTTTAAATACTATGTCCCGTGCAAATGTGATGAATGCTCGCTGAGTAGCGGTCAAATGCCTTATCCGGTCAAGAAATTTTGTGTTCTCCTAAATCTCGCGCTACTAGTTCCCTTCAAATCCCGGATCCTGAGATTCTGACGCTTTCGATACCCTGTTCGGAGAGTTCGGTTACAATAAAAGTGACTGAAGTCAAAATGTTTTGTGTTGGTCAGTCTACTGCGCGCACAGCACGTCACCTGAAGGGTGACCAAAGGCCGTCGCCCGAAGGGCAACCGAGGCACGAAGATTTAAACCGTACCGTACCCGATCTTCCGAGCCCTCAGTCTCTTGGTTTGCGGTCTATAGAATGTGTAACGAAACTGTAACGCGATCGAAATAACCCATTTTTTCAGAGGTTTTCGACGGGTTTTGATAATCTAACGACAAGCACATCTCCTCTGGACCCTGTGTTTATTACCGGAGTCCGGTAAGGCGTCGAAGGGAACACAAGAAAGATGAAGCCACACGTGCGAAGAACTGTTCGAGCATATCTAGCCTTAGCGCTGTGTTATCTCGTGAATAACCTATCCTTATCAACTGCACAAGACGACTGTCTTCCAGACATTGGTGGAAGCGGAGATTTGAAGTCTGTTGTCCTCAACATACAGACATGGGAACACCGATCGTCCAACTTTCACGTGAGTATGAATTATTGCAACAGTATTCTTTAGCTTTTTGCTCCTAGTAAAATTCAAGAAAAGAGTCATTCAGCAAAAGTGCTCGTTGTTTGCCACTGATTCACGTCGACTTCTACGGATGATGAGGTTTCATTCAGATCAGTCACGTCATCACCAGTTTTCAGGTTTCTGTTTACGCAGACTCCAATCGGCAACCCAAAATTACGTTTGGAGTTCTTATGGGTTTCCTTCCCAAATTTTACTCCGGAATCAGCAAATCACTACTGAAGGAATTTGTGAATGATACAACGGATTATTCTTATTGAGATCGTGAAAGAAGCTTAAACGCACTCAAGCGAGAGCAGCTGGGGCGGTGGCCGTCGATCGCCTGCATGCAAATGCCAAATAGGCTAGGCTAACAACAATAATTGTGTCTATAATTTCTGATGCCCCTGACTCTGTCCTATTACATGCTATTACAAGGGTCTGACCGAGGGTCTCAATGTGGTGGTGGCTTTTACGGTTATCGTATCAACCTCGTTCCCAGGGTTCTCTCTCTTGCGTCGAGAAAGAACCGTGGTTGCGGCGTTGGTTGCGGCTGGTCACGTGGAAATGTCTGTCAATAAACTGCGCAGCGGGGATAGGTCCCCCACTAAATTTTGTCGACTGGATGATGAAATACTATCTGGGGTAGGGAGAAAATTCTTGCTTCAAAATGGCGCCTGAGTTTGTGAGTTGCGTGCAAACTGCGTTGCTTTCGGATAGTTACGATCACTTTTTTTTGAAGGCAAAAGAGGTTATTTTTTGGAGCGTTTGTACTTGCAAAAAGGTTTTTGCTTACCGTCCTGCCAACAGGATATGGAAAATATTTAGATTGTGAAGTTTTACCGTACTTATTGAAGGACAAGGACGCCAGAAAGCTGTCGAGCCAGGCAGGTCCTTTGGTTGATTTCAATGTTTGACCTCTTAATTCGTTAATGTATGACCAGATTAATTTTCGGGTGTTGTTAACATTTAACAACAAATACCAGCGCAATCAGCTGATAATAAACTAGGCGGTAGACTGCTCTCGGGCCCCGACATGCAGAGCAACTTTTGTCATAGCGACAGTTATTTGCTCTTCTTCCCCTCCCTTATTTTTCATGTGGCTCCCAAAATCTGGGAACCACATGACCTGCCGCAACCAGGGTTCTTTCTCGAAGCTTGAGAGAGACCGTGAGAACGAGGTTGTTATCGTATAGCAGGCAAATGCGTGAGTTTTTCACCTTGTGTCCAGTACTAAGATATTTTTTATTGCCTTTTGTGTTTGGTTGCAGTTCGATGATCCAGTAATGGTCTCATCTAACACCTTCACGGTTTCAAAAGGTGTCGAAGTTTCCAGGCTGAGTGGTGCTAATGTACGCTTCTACGGTGAAGAACTCTGTGTTGCCGTAACTAAATATACGGAAGTAGAACAGAACGATGGAACGACAACAACTAGCTCTGTTTGTCTTAAATCCTGTCTCAGCGTTGGCGGTGCAACACGCCTAGACACTTACTCCGGGACATTTGGCAGACCCTTATCCACTAACCCTCCATGCTGTTACTCAGGATTGATTAAATACCTCCGATTTTCCATCCCTGCACCCCCGACCACGCCTCCCCCCTCCTATCAGTGCATTGAATGTTTCGACTGCGATGGGGCTGGTACCAAGATATCAACTATTACATGCAATGCCGGTGAGAAGTGCTTCACGTTGAAGTTGCAAAAACACCAGGATGGCGAAGTGGTTATTGTTAAAGGCTGTTCTCACCACCTCCGGAACTGGGGCAAAAATCTGTATTGCGAGGATGAGTGTAAAAGCAATGTGCGACTTTGGCCGGATGATAGCTACAGTCGCCACTATAGTGTTTGTGTGTCGTGCTGCTCGGGGGATAAATGTAACGGTGAAAAAAGGGTTGGTTTTGGTGCTACTTTTTATGGCCACAATCGACACATGATGATTTAAGCACTTATTTTTGGTGTCTTTGTTATTAGCCGACGGAACATTGATACCATATAACCCGTTTTTCTGGCCGAGTAAAACGTGTTTACAAGTCTTGCAAGCAAAGTTTTGAAAACCAAATGATGCTAAATTACAACTCATAAACTCATACAAAGCATGTATGTCTGATCAATTTAGAACAATCAACAACAACAATTTCAATTATTCAGAGATCAGTTATTTTTATAAAGCTTATATATAGCCCGTAGGAAGTTTGAGCGAGTCGAGGAAGGGATCAGAAGGACAGTAGTCTGTTCTAGGCTCTCAGATAGTAGGGATGATGCGTATACGTAAGTGAAAGGCACTCGAAATCTGAGAAATTGGGGCGCCTGTCCTCTCCCCAGTTTCCCCCCTTTTCAACTTTCGTGTTCGTGCTGTCTCGATTTCATGGACCCGACTATCCCGGAGCCTGGAACAGACTAGAGGGACAGTTGCGTTTTCAGACCAAGAAACGCCAATAAAGAAAGAAAGAAGGAGAAGAAGAAGAACAAAAGAAGAAGACCTTGTTATAAAACTTCAGGTTTTTTAAAAGAAATTAGTTGTTGCACTTTTATATCTATATTAAACATTCCATTGAAAACAATTATCAATGGCTCTTTTCTAAAAATTCTTACCTCATTTATTTCAGTCTTCACGCCTCGGTCTTTCAAGTCTTTTCAACTGTTACTACCCAATCAATACGAAGTTTGTTCCGAGCATGACCGAACTAGCAATGAATTCTTCTTCTTCTCTAGATAGCACTTTCACCCAGTATCAAATCAATATTGAGTTATCTAATGGATAGCGATGCCCACCTTTTAAACACCAGCTGACCCCAGTTGTTCAAAACCTGGATAGCGCTATCCATCGGATAAATCTCTATCCAGCGTAAAAGATTTTGGGAAACCAATTGCACTATCGAGTGGATAGAGATGTATCCGGTGGGTAGCGCCATCCACTTTTTGAACAACTGGGGCCTAATGATCTACAGAATGGGTAAAATTACAGTGGCACTCTCTCTACCGTTGAGGAAGCGGCTCCAACTGCACGTCCTATTAAGGTGTCTTGCTATACATGGAGAAAGAATCTGGACCGGCGAGGAGTTTTGATCCCCCATTCCGGTTCCTGTTTCACAACATTCCCTCCTCTCGAAATTCTGTCATCTCTATCCCGAATAACATTTTCTTTTTAAATACCACATCCCGTGCAAATTTGACGAATGCTGGCTGAGTAGCGGTCAAATCCCTTATCCTGTCAAGAAATTTTGCGTTCTCCAAAATCTCGCGCTATATTTCATTCAAATCCCGGATCCTGAGATTCCGACTCTCTCGATAGCCTGTTCAGAGAGTTCGGTTTCAATAAAAGTGACTGAAGAAGGCATCTAATGGGCCAGGGCAAAAGTTTTGTTTAAAGTCGTATATTTTCAACCATCCGCCATTTGCTTTTATTTTCCGGTCTTTTGAAGTGAGAAAAGCCTCAAAGACCTCTTAGGGAGCTGCTCCCACCTATAAACTTGCATAGTCCTTCACCACGCCGGAGAGTTGAGGGGTGGGGAAACAGGAGAAACTTTGGCATTTGATAAAACTGGACCGGACTTAACTGGACATTTCAATAAAAAAAAGTCGATGAATACAACATTTACCGGGAATTCCTTTTCACAACCATCATCGACCTCTCAAACAGAGCTTGGGTAACCTGTGCGCTATTAGTGAACTTGAATTGTAACTGAGTGAAGTCTGGGTTCGAAAAGAAACAAAGATGGCGTCTGATAATGGCGCATTTGTTCAACTTCAAATCGGATGCGCAAGGATTCTGCAAAAACGCGGATGGTCTTTCATTTCAGTGGCTTATTAACTTTTTGGTCATATAACTGTGATGAGAAGAAAGTACTTTATTTTGGAAAAAAGGCTTAAGTTTGTGTACAAACCCTGGTGTATGATCATGACAAAGCACTGATCTTGCACTGCATGGAGAATTTTGATCAAAGTACAGGTAAGATGTAACGGTTTAAGCGTACGAGGAAATTTTAGAGCTAACGAAACTATATAGTATTAGCTTCGTTAAGAATTTTAAATTAGGTCTTGTAAGAATTGCTTGGGTTAAGAGGGGTCTTTTGGGGAAGGGTGGGTAGTCAAAATGTTTTGTGTTGGTCAGTGTACTGTAGAGTTTTTATGTCACGTGCAGAATACCGGTATTCCCTAGCTAGTGCTGGAAGAAATGGAAAGCTTCAGAGTGGTTTATTTTTTCTCCGTGTTTGCATGGCCAGTGTTCATCCTGTTACCCCTAACACAGGCTTCTCAAGCAGCTTGAAAGTCCTTGAAAGCCTTGAATTTTAAAATAAAAATTCAAGGTCTTGAAAATTGCAGTCAGCAGTGGAAAGTCCTTGAATTTTGATGCTAACTTTATAGTTTAAGTAGAACTCCAAAGAGAAAGGAGAAAACACAGAAAGAGCTTCAGCATGAATTAATTACTCATGGCGTGGAAGAACTAAAAAAGACATAGATTCAAGGCTCTTTTTTGCACTGAATGGAGACCTTAAAAAATGGGAAATGTCTCCTTGAAAGTCCGTGAAAAGTCCTTGAATTTTTTGTTCAAAATAATGAGGCTACGAACTCTGCTAACCATGACCAGAATCTAATTTTTTCTCATGATAGACCTTTGTAAAGAGTCAATTTCTAGAATGGACCCTTCCAACGTACTTTTTTCAATTTTAACAGTCAAACCTCTATTAAGCAGTCACCCATCAATTTTCCGAATTTTGCTTCCCATATTCACTATAAATTTGACCTCTATTCATCGGTCACCTCTATTAAGATGACTCGATTACTGTTTGTATTTCCCAAATGGCAAATTTTTTTTGTAATTTACTTCTGTTAAAATTTAACAGAAGTAAGAACTCTCGCTGGCACCAAGCAAAGTCAGTGACTTGCTTCACCAATTTAGGCAACCATAACTGATTTAAAATTGCTGATGATGTGCTTGATAATAAGTTGATGTGCTCCCTTACTGTAAAAATTTGTTGTTTAGGCATGAACCCCTCAGAACATCTAATGCTTTTATCATATTTCAAATCACTGTTGTTGTAAATAGAGTAATCAATTTTGCACTCAGGTCAAAATTTCTGCCACATTATGGGCTTAATTTTAGAAATGCTCTATTAAACCCATTCGCCCCTGGAGATGTTGCTGAAAAACAAGTTTTGAAGTGCTAAACCTGACCACAAAGCCTTTTACAGGTCATACCATTTGTGGCCTTTTGATCCAGATGCAAAATATTAGCTTGCAAAGTTCGGGCATGTGCAGAAAGCAAAATTTCGAGGAAGTTTTAAGGTATAAAAAAGTTTTTGTAGTGTTTTTGTAGTTTTTGTAGTTTTTGGGACGACTGAAAAATAAGATGACTAGGATGACTGGAGTGACTGGAATAACTAGAATGACTGGGCTGACTAGGATGACTAGTGAAACAGCGATTACTAAGATGACAAAAAGTAGGGATGACTAGGATGACTGGGATAACTTTGATGACTTGAATGACTAAGGTGACTGCCCGTACGATACAGAAGATGTTAAAACAGCGCTGCTTTAGCGACTTATTAGCGCTGCAACGAGCGCTGCAGAAAGGTTGCACGAACGCTGTTTTCCGTTCGCTGCAGCAGTGCATTTTTGTGACTGCGTGAACGCTGCGGTAGCGACACTGAGAGCTGCAGGAGCGCTGCCGTAAAGATGCAAAAAAATAGCCACACGAGGCCATACGGTCGATAAACAGCTTTTATGCAGCGCTGTGCAGCGTTAGTGAAGCGCTGCCAAGAACAGTTGTACAAAAAAAAGAAATGCAGACTTCAACAATACAATAATCATGAGACATGGTAAAGGAGTTGACAAGAGGCCTTATAGTAGCGGAGTAAAAACCACAAGAAATACAAAATGCAACTGATACTTTATTAGTATTCACGCGTACACGTTACCAAAGCAGGTGACATATAAAAAATCTACGACAGTCTCGCTTTGTAAATATTCAGCAATCACGGTCACTCATCTAAATGTAAGAACATCCATTAACATGCCGACATTGAAGTTGATCTTTTTTTAAAATAAAGAGAATAAGAGCGATTGTTCTACATAAAGTTTGCACGGACAGCAGCCAAATGATGTTTTGATTCGTTGCAACAGCCTAACATCGCTCACCTTGACGTTTTGTCCATGATCCACGATCTGCCGTCACTGTTTTCATGAAAGAAATCAACCCAATTTTACCTTGGTCGTTGTTAAATTTACAATGGACTAAGGAACGTACATCATCGTGAACGTTTGAATCTTGTAAATACATGCGTACCCCAGCTCAGATTCTTGTATCTGTGTTGCTTGCTCTGGTTCGATTAAATGGTACTTGGCGTAGAATTCACTGAACAGTGCCGTTGTTTACAAATACCTTTGAGCTGTTCCATCCAAAAACATCAACAGAACTTCCACCTCGAAACACTGAACTAGATGCTTAACACTTACAATGTATGAATGTTTGCGCCTTTCATTCAACGGTCGCAAATGTTTGTCCAGCGATGTAATGTGATCTGATGCAAAAGTGCCGACCAATTAGATTACAGCCTAGAATGTCTCCAGGGAATTAGTGATAACATTCCCACACTCGCCAGTCACGGAATAAAATTTATTGAAATCTTTATTCCAAAAGCATAGAATTTGGAGGTTTATTCAATAAGTGATCTTCCCTGCGTACAAGCTTACTCACATTTCTTAGAGGTACAGTCAAAGTTTTCTCGTTATGAAAGCCGTAATCTGTGGCAAAAGGCTTTTCTGGCGGTTCATGTTATGAGCGCTCAAGAACGTTGTGCTATCAGATCCAGCGTAGCTGAATTGTAGCGTTACTGCAGCTATTGAAAGTCGGCAACTGCGCTGCAAAACTGCTGCCGAGAGCTTCAAAGGCAGCACCAGCGCTTTTGCATCCCGCTGCAACTTGGATTAAGCTGTTGTTTGGCTTCTAAAATGCTGCTAAACAGCTGTAATTTAGCTGTACAGCTATTTTGTGGCGCCGTACAGCGCTGCAAGTTTCGTACGGGTTTGCTCTCCAGGGTTTTAATTTTGAAGATCTTTAAGTCCTTATTTGGTATCTGCAGCGTTGTGCAGCGATAATGCAGCCTCAAGCGTCGCTTGTATTCAGGTTGTCATATGGAGTGGTTTCAATGTTTATATCTAAGTCTCATTGCAGCTTTTAAGCAGCGGCCCGCAGCGCTGCTTTACCGCTGCTTTACCGTGGCAAAATTTTGCAGCACTTTCGCAGTGCACGAAATGTGACGTTCTCTGCTTTAGCCACTCACGAGCACTGCTTTACAGACGCTTAAGCGCTGTGCAACCATAAAAGTGAACTGCGGCAGCGTTGCGTCGTTCGTACGGGTGGGTGGACTAGGATGACGAGGGTGACTGGGATTAGGGTGACTGGGATAGCTGTGATGACTGGAATGACTGTGATATGTCTAGCATTACTAGGATGACTGGGATAACTGGAATAACTAGGATGACTGTTGGATGACTAGGATGATAATGACTGAAATGACTTGAAA